TTATTTTTTGAAGATTATTTAATGACATTGTGAAAATGTTCATAATATCATGTTTAGTCAAAAGCACATGATTTAAAACTATGAAGTGGTTGGTTTCCAGGTGTGGAGAAAAGTAGGATGTGTCTATCATATGCTCCGTCTTTTACCCATGCCTTTGTAAAATGTACGATCCCAATTCTATAAAAACAACTAATAAAAAAAAGATTGGATAGAAAACTATCTTCTTTACATATTTCTGAGATTTCCTATAATTGTGAAAAAAAAGTCATCATAAAAATTATCTCCAGGCAGCCCCACAAAATGCCTTTTTGAATGGATCCTTAAGATCAGTTAGAATTCACCCAGGAAAGTAGGAGGAGTGTGGGAAGATGACCCTAGAAGGGTGAAAGGAGAAAGAGAGGATGAGGAAACAGGGAGAACACCACGTTTCACATTCATCTCATTCCTGGCCGAGAGCCCCATAAGGGCGGGTTGGTTAAGATAGATTGGTAAGTAGCTATGTTTGAATAATTATTTGCAAGGCAGGAATTTAAGACAAAGCAGATAACAAGTTCATCCTGGTCCCTCCATCATTTGAAAGCCAGCACTTTGCTCACAGCTACTTGGGATGTATGTGCCTTTCAAATGCACCATCAGGTTTGTTTCTGGTTGTGTGCCACATTCTTTCCCACCTCCCAACCTTGGGCTCTGCTCCTGTCTTGAGTGTTTCAGGAGTAGGAGTTTAGGAAAAGGAGAAACTGAGGCATTTATTTAAAAAGATGCAGATTCCCGGCCCTCCCAGCTCCCTCCACTCAAATCCGTTCTAATGTGACCTTTGAAGTTTGTAAACCACCGCCCCTAGAGACAGCAACTGAGTTATGCTTACCTTTGAATTCACAGGGTCAGGAGACCCTCTCTAGAAAGTGACCCAAATCCCTACCCATTCTGCCTATTTGTCCTTCCAAATGCAGTTCAGATACCACCTCCTTCAGAAAATCTTTTCCTAACATACTCAGAGGGTGCCAACCTTACCTCTGTGCTATCTCTGCATCTTGCATGATTCAGTTATTTGACTTCTGCTCAGTAATCACCCAGCTTCTCATGCAGCTAGGATCTCCTCTAGCGAGATTCCTGTATCTCACTCCTCTTGGTGCCCTGTGCCAAGTGCAGGGTCTGGCATGCAGTACTTACATCATGCTCACTGAATTGAATTGTTCTGGAACCTGGACACTCTTGCAGCCTTGGTTTCCTTGCTGTGGGTCTGAGCAAGCTGCTCCAGGTATGTTGGGGACTAGCTAAGTATTAGTGGAGGCTGGTGGCCATGGAGAGATGCATTAGGAGCCAGGGCTCGAGTGGGGGCGGGTATGGGTTCTGACAGCTCTTCTCCAGAACTGACCGACTCCACCTCCCTGACCACAGGGCCGGGAAATCTCCATCTGCCTTCCACCTCGGAGCTCTATAAAAGGCTACAAACAGAGTCAAGTCTGTGACTCGAGAAACTGGGGAATCAAGTTGAATGAAATAAGAAAACGAGCCAGAAATGTCAAGATAAAGATAACCTTGGCCAACTGTTCCAAATCATTTGGTTGCAGGTCTCAGAAACCTCCTTTATAGTGGCGTAGAAGGGAACCATATTAAAGAAGCTTCCCCCAGAGTGTCCTGACTCTGAAGAAGTGAAAACTCCAGAGCCTTGTGCCTTTTAAGTCCAACCACTGTCATGAGCAGAATGGCTTAGAAGAAAATGGACCCCACTGAATCCTGTAATGTAATTCAAAGAAAGATCTAGAAGAAATTTTTGAGGTCCCTGACCTAGCCCTTCATTTTACAGATGGGAAACTAAGGTACAGAAAAGTTAAGGAATTTATGTAAAGTTAGACATTTACTTAGAGCGTCCGAATGTCTCCAGCTGTTTACTGGTGCTTCTCCCTGGGCCTCTCTTTTCTCATTTATGAAATGAGTAGGTCTCTCTCTAAGATCCCTTCCAGCTCTAATGTTCTTTGACTGGGGAGAGTCATGTTGAGAGACACCTAGGTCCACCTCCAACTTGGTTGCTATTTCAGTTTGACTTTGGGCAAATTGTTTCTCCCCACTGAGCTGCTGAGACAGCATCTAGTATCATAGAAAAGTTGCATTTGCTGCCTAAGTGTGAACCTAAGAACCCAGCTTTTCCACCTGGTTGGTGTCCAGCCACTCTTTTTCTGGAAAATCTCAAAGTAAGCGGTCTGAATTCTCAAACATCAGTCAGGAATAGTGATAACATTCTTTGGCATCTCTCTGGTGCTTCATAGTTTACAAAGCCGCCTGGGTTCAAATCCCAGCTCCACCATTTTCTAGTTACCTGCCCTTGGGTGAATAACTCTGTGTCTCAGGTTCCTCAGCTGTAAAGTGGGGTGTTCATAATAGTCCCTACTTCATTGTTTCTAAAGAGTACATGCAAGCACTCAGAACATTACCTGGAACAAAACAATTGCTCAGCAAATTATTTGTTGCTGCTGTTATTATTATTAAGCACTTTCAGATGCTTAACCTCACTTGATCCTTACATTCTATTACTTTAGGCAAATCTGGACAAGGTTCTAAAAATTTTTAACATTTACAACATACAAAGATTCAGTTGGAAGGATTTCTGTTCAAACCCAAACTGTCCTTTTAATAATAGGTTAGTAATCCCACTCCATGCAGAAAATGACCCATGGGATAGCTCCCCCACTACCCCCTGGTGGGAACCATGTTGAAGGGATGCAATAGCTCCCTTGGGAAGGGTAGCTCTTACATAAAAAGTGGGGCAAGCTGAAGCTGCAGAGAATAAAATAATTAAAAAGACTTAAGTGAACATCTAGTTTCAGGCCAAGCTTTATATTTCACTGCTGGGGAAACTGGGGACCAGAAACATGAAGTGGCTTTCACAAGTTCTAGAGCCAGATGGTAGTGGGGCTGGAACTAGGGCTCAGGATTCCCTGTCTGCACACCACCAGTGCTGGTTCCCCGCCCACAGCTGGTAGGGAGGAGGGTGGGGAGGGACTCACAGCTCTCACGCTTTCTGAGGACAGTTCTGATGAGGGGGGATGAGACTCCCAGGAAAAATCGCAGCTTTAGGGCCCAATACCCTGCAATGAGGCCAACAGAAATGACAGTGGAGACACCCTGGAATGTCTCCATAGGCCCAGACCTGCCCCAAGGTGATTATATTTGGAATGAATTATGAAGCTAATGTGGAGTGGTAGCGTGAACCAGGAACCAAGAGATCTCAGGACTAATTACAAATTCAGCTTAAAGGCCCCACCTTCCTGTTCCCAGGAAGTCTTCCTTGATGGCTCCCTCCCTGAGTTCCCACAGTGCTTACTGTCTGAATCACACACCTGGCATACCCCACACCATCCCACATTGCTAAATAGCTTCTGCTAATGGCCTCCCCACTCCTTATCTCCTAGCAGCACCAGATATGCTCTCAGTGGAGGGACTGAGCCTTAAGCATTCTGGTCTCTCTGCAGTTGCTAGTGTGCAGGATGATCACAGAAGGGTTACGCCAAAGGGGACCTCCCCTTCCCCAAATCAGTCATTTGTTGAACCAAGCATCTCCTTTTGTGAAGGAAGCCAAAGTCAGGACTGTCATTGCCCCAAGGATCACAACAGGTTACAGTGGGATTTTGGACACAATAACAAAAGAAAAAAACAGGGAGAAGAAAAGACCTTCATTTATGAGAAGCTGGAAAAAAAACCTCTCTGTAAGTAGCCGTGCCACTAGAGAGAAATGTTGTGTATGGGCAGATTAAGAAAGAACATCTGAAATAAGCTTTCTCTTCCCCATTAAACCCTAGAATCCATGTGACCTAGAGTGAATTCATACTCCTCCCTCCCTTCAGAGGGGAGGGGATGCTTACACTACTCAGTGCCATTATTGGTGTGGGGTGTTGTTTATTTGTTTTTAAAGCTTTTTCTGTTAATTTTAATATTGCTTTGACTTTATTAGTTACCCTGAGTACATTTCAGTAAAGTTGGATCTACTTATTCTGGGAATAATAAGTAATAAAGAATTTTTTAATAGACCATTTCAAAGTTGAACATCTGGAAATAAGATGGCATCTGTTATCAGGTTATCTAGACAAGTATATGCATGTGAGGGATTATGTGTGTGTATAGCCTTTGAAATGGATTCAAACAATGGATTATTGACATATGCATGTAGTACTTTGTATACATAGACACATAGATATCTATGTGTATGTACAGATACAGACATAATTATTTTCAGTTGCCATCTGGTAATAACTTGGCATATGGTATAATCTTAAATAGCTGTAACTATCTATTTTATGTATATATGCAGCTATACAAAGTTATGAATATATGTCTATAAGTTTTAGATAACTTACTTTATTATATATTACATACATATGTGTGTGGATAGATTTGTGTGCACATAGCATATTTATGGTTAGAAATATATATGCCCAGTTACATATAAAGCTTCTTTTTTTTCAGTTGGAATCCAGAATAAGCTAACATTTTATTCTATCAACCAAGATACACAGAAAGTATATATACATAAAAGAAAATGTGTCGCTTTTCTCTAAGAAAACCCAAAAGTCATATGGGTTGCCTGAAGTGACATAAATCTATATTTATTACTGGAAAATCAATAGTTTCAGTGTTTATCTTCTAAAGTAGCATAGGGTCTAGTGGGTGCTACAAATTCAGGGAAGAGCCCAGGAATCATATCTTTCACTGGTATAACAGCCTTCATCTGGCGGCGAGATAAAGTAGACCATCAGAATTTGCAGAACTCTGAGAAGAGCTGTTTCGGGTCTTGCTAGATTCTTGCTAGATTCAGCATTTTCATTTTACACTTGATCTTAGCCAAAAGGTCAAGAAGTGATAGCATTTCCACTCTAAACCATATGTTGACATGATACTTGCCTCCTAACTCCTGTTTGGAGCTGGGTCCCAGGAGCTGGGGAGAGCTGGGGAGAGCTGGGGAGAAGCTGCTCAGATGTGGTGCTCAGAAAGGGTCAGACACTCACCATATGCTGTCACTGCCTTTGTCCATGGGCCATCCTCTGGGGTCATAGTACACATCCACGCTGAGGTTTTTGTCTGTGTCATGAGCTGAGCTGAAGTTGGTGATAACTCGGGAGGGAATCCCCAAACACCGCAGCACTGCAAGTCAAAGGCAGTCTGAGGACTCGGAGTGCAGTGGAGATGGTATCTTGGGGTACCCCACTGCTGCCCACCCAGGAAAGGCACATCACACCCAGAGTACCTGTGTTGAGGGTCCCAGCGAAGACCCAGCACTGGCCGTATCGGACTGGCCTGAAGCCAGACATTTGCCACTGCTTGAGGATCTCCACGCTGCCATTCCAGTTCCTTGGGTCCTGGCCACCTACGTAGTTACCACTCCAGTTCCCAGAAACCACACCATAGTCATCATTGCTATTGATCTGGGCAGGAAAAAAAAAAAACCCAAAGAAATCAGCACAGAGAGTGACATGCAGAGTTCAGGGGACAAGATAAGGAGACAAGGAAGGAAGCCAGGGAGCCTCCTTCAAGTGGATTTTCTGTCTTTCTGGGTGATTTGGATGATAATTGTGATGATGATACCCCTAGGGGTATCAAGCGGTATATGAATTTAAAAGTGCTTTCCTTAACAGGCCATGTTTGTCCCTAATTCACATATCATTCCCAGCTCACAGGGAAAACTGAGGCTCAGTGGCTTGTCAGTGGTGAGGGACGGGCAAAAAATCAGCCTGCAGGCAATTTCTGGCCAGAACTCATGGGCCGCTGCTGCTGCCTGACTTGAGAGTCCACGGTTTGAAGCTCTCTTTTGGTGTCCTGGTCTTCTAAAAAGATCACTTTAGAACTTAACAACTAACTTCTTCTTGGAAAGAATAAAGATGGACTGTTGCTTTTCATTCATTCATTCTTTATTCATTCCCTCAACTTAAGGCATGATTCTTGTATAAGTAACACAACCACGATGCAGTATGAAAAGAGCACTGGACTAGCAATCAAAAGATCTGAGTTTCTTAGTCTGAGTCTTTTACAGAGTCATATTGAAATATTTAGGGATGAAATGATATAATGTCTGGGATTTATCAAACAATCTGTGGAGGAAGGGACAGAGATGAAACAAGAATGGCCTTGAGTGGGTAATGGCTGAAGCCAGTGATGGGTACGTAAGAGTTCATTTTAATTTTTCCTCTACTTTAGTGAAAGTCTGAACTTTTCCATGATAAAAAGTTAAAAGAGAATGAAAAAAGGAGAAACCTGAGAGAAAAACAAATATCGTATATTATCGCTTGTATGTGCAATCTACAAAAATGGTACAGATGAACGTATTTGCAAAGCAGAAATAGACGCACAGATGTACAGAACAAATATATGGTTACCAAGCGGAGAAAGGGGGTGGTGGGATGAATTGGGAGATTGGGATTGACATATATACACTACTATGTATAAAACAGATAACTAATAAGAACCTGCTGTATAGCACAGGGAACTCCACTTTGCTGTACAGTAGAGACTAACACAACACTGTAAAACAACTATACCCCAATTAAAAAAAATTTTTTAAATAAAGTAAAATAATAGATAACTAATGAGAACCTACTGTATAGCACAGGGAGATCTACTCGGTGCTCTGTGGTGACCTAAATGGGAAGGGAATCTAAAAAAGAGAGGATATATGTATACGTATAACTGATTCACTTTGCTGTACAGCAGAAACTAACATAACATTGTAAAGCAACACTACTCCAATAAAAAATAAAAAAAAGAAAGAAGAGGAAATTCGAGTTGCAAGCCCAGCCTGGCTGCTTGTCAGCTGGGTGACTGCTTGCTCAGGAGTCGATTCACCTCTCTGGGCCTTCATTCTTCACCTTCCCACACAGGGAAGTTTAGAAACAAGTACTCCCTCAGCTGTCTTCCAGCAGCCAAGTTTTCAGAGTTTATGAAACTTTGACTAGCATTTATCCCAACCTTACAGTGAGAACGGCTCCCTCTCTCTGTGGGGGCCACGAGGGCAAGGCCTATGAGGACGAACAGTCTCGAAATGGAAGGATCCTTGCCCAGGACAGGCTGACCCAGCCCTCCACAGCCCCTCCGTGTGGTGGGTGAGCTCCACAGCCCCTCCAGGATGGTCTGGGCTGAAATAGCAGGATGGGGCCAGATAGGGCTCCTTCAAGATGGAAGATTGCACGGCCCATCCCCATCTCCTGAGTCACAGGTGCACCAGCCTCCAAAGTGGTAATCAGCAGGTTCATCTCTGACTGAAAGCCGAGGTTTCAAAGCCCCACACAGGCCATAATTAGCTCGTGGCCCAGCCCAACCAGGAGGGTTGGAGAGAGAATGGGGAGGTACCGCTGAGGCACCCAGCTCTGAGATCAAATGGTTTGTCTGGAGGGCAGGGGTGAGTCAGCAGCTACTGGAGCCAGCCGCCTCTCCTCCCCTCTCCTGAGCTGAGGAGGCTCAGCTTCCTGAAGTGCCTGAATCCAGCTTCCCTCGACCTTGGCGTTGGCTTTAATCCACCTCCTCCTGGGCCACTTGGTTTTCCAGGTTGGGCCCAGGCCCCACTCCCTCTCTGCACTCTTCCGGCTGCCTTGGTCCCCACCATTTCCTCAGCACCTCCACATTGCCTGGGCCTCCCCACAGCTGTCCTGTGAAGTTTGGGTTAAGAAGTGCTGTCTGATGACCCCCGATATCTATCATGCAGTCAGAAGGTCATTCAAATTTCTAACCATGTAACTAGCTTGTTAGCTTGGATATTCTCCCAACTCAAAAGAGACTTGAAATGCCTAGTCCATTAATCAAAAAAAAAAAAAAAAAAAAAAAAAAAAAAAAACTCA